GTCTTCAATAAAACTAATATACAATATAAAAAAGTTAGAATAGAATAGAAAAAATTAATTCTATATTTCACGATAATTTCTATAAGAAATTAATTTTACTAATAATATGCAATAACTGCAACAGTTCATAATATGCAATATGCAATTGCTTCAAATTCTCTAACAAGTTCAAATACATAGATTATAATAATTTTGAAATAGGGGTCAATCCAGGTAAAGATAATGTTAATGAAATGTTGTAATATTATATAATTGCACATAAAAATATACATTTAAATAAAAAGAAAGCAGAATTGTTTTAAATAGACCTTATTATTCTATTATTATACATTTTCTTTTGATTACGAATATTAATATGTTTTATTCTATATACATTTTTACTTGTTATTTGATGTTTTTCGAATATATGTAATATATTTGTAAATTTATCGAAATAGAAAGATAAGTATGCCAATGAAATCGATTTTTCATCATAACTTATTTATTTCCTTCGATAAACCCATTTGTTTTATGAAAACATATAAAGAAACTTAACAATTGTCCTATATACTAATTTACAGTGTGTGTAATTTAGTGGATCGATTATTCTAATATACGTAAGTGTAGCTATTACATTTATGGAGATCCACTATCGTCGTCAACGACAAACAGAAAGAAAAGTATAATTTGAAATCTGCCATGGCGAAAAGTATTGAGTCTGTTTTATTGCCACTTTTGTTGATCAGTTGGGTATGCGGTTTGAGAATTACAGAGTTTTCTGCGAAACATCGAAAATTTTGGTTCAGTCTTCTCTATATTCTACTATTGTGGTCGGTTTATTGTTTTTTGATAGTAGATAAAGTTATATTTTACATACCTGATGAATCTGCCGAGTACTATATATATGTTTTATTGAATATTTTTACTGCTCTATTATCAATATTTCTTGGAATATATTATAATAAGGTAAGAAAATGTTAGAAAATATTAACAATTAGTTTTTTATAGATATAATATAATTATAAGATATAATATTAATTATATAGATAATATTATATTGTTTTATATGAAATAATTTTAAAAATCTTTGAAATGAATATTTGCAAATTGTCACAATATTATTTCACTAAAAAATTTAATAAAAACTATTGACAAATTTTTTTGCAATACGTTCAATAAAATAATTATATTTTAATTTTATTCAATTTTTGATAATTTGATCTAATAAAACTGTTGTTCAAATAAAATGCATATTGCATTTTTTTTAAATAATATAAATATACTTATTATCTATGTATAGAATATATATGTATATATATTTAGTAATCATAATATACATTAAGATATAAATATAAGATATAATCTCAAAGAAAGAGAGAGAGAGAGAGAGAGAGAGAGAGAGAGAGAGAGAGAGAGAGAGAGAGAGAGAGAGAGAGAGAGAGAGAGAGAGAGAGAGAGTAGGA